TAATTTAGAATAATTATGCCACGTCAGCAGCCCCCACCAACAGGACACGCCACGTGGCAGAGACGCTGACGCGGAGCCACGTGGCGATCCGCGTGCGCGCGATCGGATGGCTGAGATCCGTTCCTGCGCACACGGACGACCTAGATCAAAAGCGCGTGCGGACGGCCCAGATTTCACGCATGCAGACGGCCTAGGTTGAATCACGCACGGACAGCCCAGATCGCATCGCGATGGACGGTCCAGATTCATTCCCAATTTAATCACGATCGGACGGTCCAGATTAAATCATGATGGACGGCTCAGATTAAAAGAAAAATGTTATAAATAATCTCATCCACACCCAACCCCAAACCCTAGCCGCCAGAGCCCTCGCCGGAGAAGACAACCCAATAGCCGGGGGAATCGACCGTCGCCATCCGCCGCCGCACCGGAGCACTTTCCGGCTGCCAAACGAGGTAAAATTTCTCCCTTTGGATCGGATTTCGATGTTGAACCCACCTGTGGCCAAATTGGAGCCAAACCACCGGCTAATTGGCCGAAAAACGTCGCCGAAGCCCAGCGGTGCCACCACAGATTTTTTCAGTTTTTGCCTCCGATGAGGCCCTTCCCGATTCCCATTCGATGCAATTTTTACACCACTGTGACCACCGTCCTTTCCTCTACAGGTTGACCGGAGCAAAATGCCAAATCGTGACTCACGCCGGAGGAGCCGTCGCACTCGAGAGCTACGCCGCCGGTAAGTCTCGGTTTTTTGTATTTTTTTGGCCCACCAAGGGTCCTAGTTGTGTTTCCTCGCAGGAACTGGTGTTAGTTTGGCTGAATTCGGTCGGAAACGGCTGAAAATAGCCAACTCGAGGTGGATCGCCGTCGTGGACGACGGCGCCGTCGCCGGAGCACAGCGGAGCCACCGTCACCGGAGCACGGTAGAGCCACCGTGCTGGAATTTTGAAATTGGTCGAGGAGGCCCTGGGTCTGATTTGGAGTTTTTTGAGGACATGTGCAGGTACCGAAAGTGTGTTTCAGTTCTCGGAGAAAAATTCAGGGAATCTAGGGACTGCCCGTAGGTACAGTGAAAAACCGATTTTAAACTTCGAATCAAGTAAGGATCTTTTATCCTATTTCCTATCACAGTATTAAAGCTTAATAAATGATAAAACGATATTTTATGAATTAATAGATATATATAATTAATTAAGGTTGTTAATGGAGCCCAAATCTGATATATTTTCGGTCAGTTACTGTTTGAGTTATTTTACAGTTTTAAATACATTATGGTATCTAATCTATTTATTTTATAGTTTTGAATGTATGAATCACTGTTTACTTCATTATGGCTTGATTTTATGAATCCGATGATATGCTTGCTTTTTTGGATGCTCGTTACTGGTTTAAATATTCATGATTATGTGAGGAACAGAAAACTAAGGAAAAATAGAAAGGTTTGTGAGTTGAATAATGGATAAGTCGACAGCCTCACTAGATTTCCTGGGAGATGGTGGACGGACCGGGTCCATATGGAACCTTATTGGGAACATTGTCTCTCATACCGGACGGGGTATGGAGACTTTAAATGTTTTGGCGCTCATACCAGATGAGGTATGGGGACGACCCGCTTCACCCTAATACTGGACGGGGTATTGAGTTTTATTGTTTTGGCGCCCATACCGGATGGAGTATGGGGATGGCCTTGGAGTTAAGTCATTAAGGTGAATGGTTCACGTGTAGCGGGGACCCCTATGGATCCCCATGGATACTGGTAGACTAGTAAAAGAGGAAATTTGTTGCCTGATGATTAAAATATTAAAAGTATGACATGTGTTATGTTACAAAGTGTGTATGATTTTATGATATTATAATGTTATTGTTTTCATAAGTTGTTTTCATGAATCTCATCGAGGTAAATGGACAGTAAAGGGTTTTATTATTGATAAATGAATTTGTTATAAATTATGCTTCATTGGTCGTTTTTGTTTTCTACCAACCTTTACTTCTGTGATAGTGAGATAATGTGACATCTTTACTGGGCTAGTGTAGCTCATTCCTTAACTATTTCAGATTAAGAGGACTTGGTTCCCGGGCCCGTTCCACAGGAAGACGGCGAGTAGATGCCTAAAGATTTTATAGTTTTCCTTATAGTATTAATTTCTAGTATTTACTTTAGTTAGCTTATTCTTTCATACGTTAATACATTTTGGTTATTGTGTAAGGGATGTTAATCATAATATTTTATTTCGCTTCCGCACTTAAAATTTTTATATATACGTTTCCTTTTAATTTCCGGGGCCGTTACAGTTGGTATCAGAGCTGCGTTCCTCGGACTCGTCCCTTACACAATAATATTTAGAGAAATACCAACCGATTAATCGTTACTCAACCCTTCCTTGTGAAATGCAGGTGTAGAGAGATGAGGAGAGGAAGACCCCCACTAAACCGAGCAACTCGGGATGATTCGCTTCGGGAAGATGTGGATAGAATATTTGAGATGATAGAAATGATCATTGCTGCCCAGCAAGGCCGAGAGGAGAGAAGGGAGTTACCCGACCCTCCCCCACTACCACAGGTTGAGCCACCGCTACAGCGAGCGGATTCCGAGCTACCCCGGCACGAGCCTGCTCTTCCGCAGTACCCCCCGGCACCACCGCTGCAGTATAATATGGTGCCCCAGCCACAGTCCTTCCCGGTACCGCTACAGTACAATCTAGTGCCCCCATTATATCAGCAAGTGCCACCATAGGGCCCCCCAATCTATCCTTAGCCCGACCCAGTCCCTCTTCCACGGGACCCAGCTCCTTCCCTGATTGACCCGGGCTACGTAGAGAGGTACAGGAGACTGAACCCTTCCACTTTTGTAGGGGAGTCCTCTTTCGAAGATGCCCAGTACTGGTTGGTAGAGACAGAAAAGGCTTCCAAGACCTTAGGAGTAGTTCCCGTGCAGAGGGTTACCCTTGCTTCCTACATGCTGG